GAATTAGTATTTTTATCAAAATCGTCCTGATCTCGTGATCCCGTGATCAGAATCACATGATCTTGTGCTCGTTAGAACCGTCTCGGTGAGCTGAATCCAATGGTAGTTGTTACATCCAAATTGGTTTGGTACATCAAAAGTTATGATCAAAAATGTGTAAAACTCTTAATGTTAACAATATATCCCTTTTTTTACCATTTTTTTTTTTTTTTTTTTTTTTTTTTTAACTACTTATTTAATAAAATATAAAAATCCTTAATTTTCTTTTCGAATATGGTAGTTTTTAAAACAGTCACTTTTATCCTTACTACACATAAGGCTACGTTGCATTTTATACAATAAATCTGCGACTGTGGTGGATTCTTGTCAGTATTTTTTTTTTTTTTTAGTATTTTTTTTTCATCAGTTTGTTTTTTTTTTGCCAAATATCTGTACCATATACAGCTACTTCTTTCTTTTCTTCATTCAGGTAAATGTCCATCCGGAGATAACCTTAATAAGAAGAGTTCGAAATTACTTGTCACATACTGTGTTTTTGGAAGATTAACACCAATATTTTCAAATTGATGTGTTAATTCTTCTATCCAACTTCGCGTATTTGGCTTTTTTGTTCAATCATTTTCTTCCATATCTGCATTAATTAATTCCCATACTAGATGAATTCGAAAATTCTTATGATTAATAATGTTGCCATTTTTTTTAAAAATTAAGTAAGAATTGACAATAGAAGTGTCAAGTAACCAAAAAAACAAGGGCATCCAAGTTCTTCTTACTGGTAATTGGATGGCATAATATCTGTGAAGTTGATCAGCTATGTCTACTCCACCCATGTGGTGGTTGTAGTCATCAATTATACAAGGTATTGGCAAAGCTTTTTTACTAGCAGTTCCAAAAACTGCACGTACTTTTGTAACATTGGTGCTAGTTTCTCGGAGTCGACGTCGAACTCTTTCAACTCTATTTTCATTTCTAGTAATTTCATGAATGGTGGTCAGCATGGTTACTGGACTGTTGTTCATCCACAAAACAGCAAGAACATCATCAACTACTACTCCAGATAATGTATCCCAATCTAACTTTTTATCTACTTTAAGTATTTTAGGGAAATGCGCACTATTTTTTCTAATTGTTCCGCATGTACCAAAATTATTATTGCACATATGTCAAAAGAGGTTAATAGATGAAAAAAAATTGTCCATATATATATTGAAAGATTTATTTAAAGGTAAGGTGATAAACATCATTTCCAACTTTATTCAGATTCACAATTTGTTTTACTTCTGGATGATTATGAATGCGCAAAGTAAAAATAAAGGAATACATATAACCTGAATTACAAAGGGTGAGAATTTTGTACCCTTCCAGTGTAGGTTTGTTTTTAATTCTAACTGTATGCATGCTTCGACCTGAAAATCTTGTGATCATTTCATCGATTGATATGTTAGATGATGGAATACAGATCGATTT